GTGATTACATGGCAATCCTGCTTGTTCTGGTTTGCCTGGCTTGTTTGTGTTTTCTCTCAAGTTCAGTTATAACAGACATCAAGTTGAGCCTAATACACAGTGTGTCCAGTTTGGGCAAACATTTGCGCCACATTTTGTGTGTGGTTTTTTTTTAAAAGGATGTTCTTAATTAATGTACCACTCACAGTAGCGCTGCACAACAACAGATGCCGGTACCGCGTACTATTTCACACCGCCTAAATGAAGCTCTGCGAGTACGGGGAGTCATAACAGGACATAGACAGACCGACATCAAATGTTTTATTTACGGAGTCATAGTCGGATACAGGGCTGTCGAAATATTTTTGGGAATAGTACCAAACCTGCAAAGGTACAAAACACACCAGAAGGTATCAAATTTGTATTTGCTAATTTGAAAAAGAATTTTTTTTTTAATCCTAAGCGTCTTTAAAAGCACACACACTACTGGCTAACCTTATATTTAATCACAAAAGAAATTCTTTTTTTGCTTTACATCATTAGTGTACCATCCCCCCCCCCCCTTCCAGTGACATCTGTGTTCTCATCCATCCGTGTAAACCACAGGGACATCTGTGTTCTCATCTATCTGTGTAAACCACAGCATCAGTGACATCTGTGTTCTCATCTATCTGTGTAAACCACAGGGACATCTGTGTTCTCATCTATCTGTGTAAACCACAGGGACATCTGTGTTCTCATCTATCTGTGTAAACCACAGCATCAGTGACATCTGTGTTCTCATCTATCTGTGTAAACCACAGCATCAGTGACATCTGTGTTCTCATCTATCCGTGTAAACCACGGTGACATCTGTGTTCTCATCCATCCGTGTGAATCACAGTGACACCTGTGTTCTCATCCATCAGTGTAAACCACAGCATCAGTGACATCTGTGTTCTCATCTATCCGTGTAAACCACGGTGACATCTGTGTTCTCATCCATCAGTGTAAAGCACAGGGACATCTGTGTTCTCATTCATCCGTGTAAACCACGGTGACATCTGTGTTCTCATCCATCCGTGTAAACCACAGGGACATCTGTGTTCTCATCCATCGGTGTGAATCACAGTGACACCTGTGTTCTCATTCATCCGTGTAAACCACAGCATCAGTGACATCTGTGTTCTCATCCATCCGTGTAAACCACGGTAACATCTGTGTTCTCATCCATCAGTGTAAAGCACAGGGACATATGTGTTCTCATTCATCCGTGTAAATCACAGCATCAGTGACATCTGTGTTCTCATCCATCCGTGTAAACCACGGTGACATCTGTGTTCTCATCCATCCGTGTAAACCACGGTGACATCTTTGTTCTCATAAATCCGTGTAAACCACAGGGACACCTGTGTTCTCATTCATCCGTGTAAACCATAGCATCAGTGAAATCTGTGTTCTCATCCATCCGTGTAAACCACAGTCACATCTGTGTTCTCAGCATCCGTGTAAACCACAGCATCAGTGACATCTGTGTTCTCATCCATCATTGTAAACCACAGCTTCAGTGACATATGTGTTCTCATCCATCATTGTAAACCACAGTGACATCTGTGTTCTCATCCATCATTGTAAACCACAGTTACATCTGTGTTCTCATCCATCATTGTAAACCACAGTGGACATCTGTGTTCTCATCCATCTGTGTAAATCACAGCTTCAGTGACATCTGTGTTCTCATCCATCATTGTAAACCACAGTGACATCTGTGTTCTCATCCATCCGTGTAAACCACAGCTTTAGCGACATCTGTGTTCTCATCCAACCGTGTAAACTACAGCATCAGTGACATCTGTGTTCTCATCCATCAGTGTAAACCACTGGGACATCTGTGTTCTCATCCATCTGTGTAAATCACAGGGACATCTGTGTTCTCATCCATCCGTGTAAACCACAGGGACAGCTGTGTTCTCATCCATCCGTGTAAACCACAGTGACATCTGTGTTCTCATCCACTCGTGTAAACCACAGGGACATCTGTGTTCTCATCCACTCGTGTAAACCACAGGGACATCTGTGTTCTCATCCACTCGTGTAAACTACAGGGACATCTGTGTTCTCATTCATCTGTGTAAACCACAGTGACATCTGTGTTCTCATTCATCTGTGTAAACCACAGTGACATCTGTGTTCTCATCCATCCGTGTAAAACACAGTGACATCTGTGTTCTCATCCACTCGTGTAAAACACAGTGACATCTGCGTTCTCATCCATCTGTGTAAACCACAGTGACATCTGTGTTTTCATCCACTCGTGTAAAACACAGTGACATCTGTGTCCTCTTTCACTCGTGTAAACCACACTGACATCTGTGTTCTCATCCATCGGTGTAAACCACAGGGACATCTGTGTTCTCATCTATCTGTGTAAACCACAGCATCAGTGACATCTGTGTTCTCATCCATCCGTGTAAACCACAGGGACATCTGTGTTCTCATCCACTCGTGTAAAACACAGTGACATCTGTGTCCTCTTTCACTCGTGTAAACCAAAGTGACATCTGTGTTCTCATCCACTCGTGTAAAACACAGTGACATCTGTGTCCTCTTTCACTCGTGTAAACCACAGTGACATCTGTGTTCATATCCACTCGTGTAAAACACAGTGACATCTGTGTCCTCTTTCACTCGTGTAAACCACACTGACATCTGTGTTCTCATCCATCCGTGTAAACCACAGGGACATCTGTGTTCTCATCAGTCAGCGTGTGGCCTAAGTTGTCAACTCTGTCAGGGATCTGTTCTCTACAGCTTCTGTCGAGGGTGATATGGAACGTATTGCTGATGTTTGAAGCAATTGGCAATTGCACCCATTTGTTTCTCATGATAATGTCTGGAAAGCGAAAAATCTGCTGGATGACATTCTTGGCACGATCCATCCAAGAGTCGGTTTTATTTTTCAGTTCTCCAGGTCTCCGTTTGTTACAGAATGTTGAATACATTAATTTCTCATTATAACAAAAATACAGACTGTCTGGTCTCATTTTGTCCACCAATTTACGGGTCCTTTCCGTTTCTGATAAGAGAGTCGCAATCGTTTTGTTGTTGTTCCGTGTTATTTTCTTTTCAGAAAACATTGTTTCCGTGCCCCTTCAATGTATCTCATCATGTCCCAGTTTCACATGCATGGGTGAGTAAATGTTATATATAACTCTGAGAAATCTCTTTTTTTCTTCAATGTTTTATTGGTACAAATGTTCTCAGGCATGGAGAAGACACTGTTGCCATGGAGAAGACACTGTTGCCATGGAGAAGACACTGTTGTCATGGAGAAGACACTGTTGTCATGGAGAAGACACTGTTGTCATGGAGAAGACACTATTGCCATGGAGAAGACACTGTTGTCATGGAGAAGACACTGTTGTCATGGAGAAGACACTGTTGTCATGGAGAAGACACTGTTGCCATGGAGAAGACACTGTTGCCATGGAAAAGACACTGTTGCCATGAAGAAGACACTGTTGCCATGGAGAAGACACTGTTGCCATGGGAAAAACACTGTTGCCATGGAGAAGACACTGTTGCCATGAAGAAGACACTGTTGCCATGGAGAAAACACTGTCGCCATGGAGAAAACACTGTTGCCATGGGGAAAACACTGTTGCCATAACGAAGACACTGTTGCCATGGAGAAGACACTGTTGCCATGGCGAAGACACTGTTGCCATGGAGGACTGTTGCTATGGAGGACACTGTTGCTATGGAGGACACTGTTGCCATGGAGAAGACACTGTTGCCATGGAGAAGACACTGTTGCCATGGAGAAAACACTGTCGCCATGGAGAAAACACTGTTGCCATGGAGAAGACACTGTTGCCATGGCGAAGACACTGTTGCCATGGAGGACACTGTTGCTATGGAGAAGACACTGTTGCCATGGAGAAGACACTGTTGCCATTTAGAAGACACTGCCATAGAGAAGACACTGTTGCCATGGAGATGACACTGTTGCCATGGGGATTCCTGATATATTTTCAGCAATTCATCATCCGTCATATTCTATGTATGATCAACAGATTCTATGTATAATCAACAGATTCTATATTTGATCAACAGATTCCATGTAGGATCAACAGATTCTATGTAGGAACAACAGATTCTATGTAAGATCAAGAGATTCTATGTATGATCAACAGATTCTATGTATGGTCAACAGATTCTATGTAGGATCAACAGATTCTATGTAGGATCAAAAAATTATATGTAGGATCAACAGATTATATGTAGGATCAAAAGATTCTATGTAGGATCAACAGATTCTATATATGATCAACAGATCAACTTATCTGGCCACGGTAAGATTACTCATTTCACATGTGTTCTCTGTAAGTGGCATGCTTGCACTGTTTATTACCAAAGAAAAATTATTTTACTGCTCGCATTTATAATTGCAACGATGTTGGTGTGTTCAACGTTGTTGGCGTGTGCAACGTTGTTGGTGTGTTCAACGTTGCTGGCGTGTGCAACGTTGTGTGCAACGTTGTTGGTGTGTGCAACGCTGTTGGTGTGTGCAACGATGTTGGTGTGTGCAACGATGTTGGTGTGTGCAACGTTGTTGGTGTGTGCAACATTGTTGGTGTGTGCAGCGTTGTTGGTGTGTGCAACGTTGTTGGTGTGTGTAACGTTGTTGGTGTGTGCAACGGTGTTGGTGTGTGCAAGGTTGTTGGTGTTGGCTCGTTCTACTTGTTTGACCTTTTGCGTGCCTCACTCAAGATGTAAAGTCTCGACACATGAACGGACATTCAGAACACGTTAATAACGTTGATATCGTTTTTTATGGCACAACAATAAGTCGTTCCGTTGATGTCCCCAGTTCTCCCAAGTCGTTGCCACATGCCCACAACAGCCTCCCACGACACGTCGACAGTTAAACAATGGTTGCAGCTACCTGCCCGTCAGAACGTTCCATTCGTTCGGGCTTTGGCATCCAAAATCATCATAACACACATGGTCACAGAACACTAGACATTGTCATTCAGAAA